CATCAAGGAAAATTTTGATTACAAAGAAAATTCACATTTAGAAATTAGACACCTATAACACCACTCCTGTAATTCACTTATTACTGACTTTCTCTTCATACCAACGGACACTTGCATGCTTCTATGATGTGCGTAAGAAGAGACAAAAAGAGAAAAAGGAGGGAATAAGAAGAAAAATCCCCCAAAAGGGCCTGGTCGCAATCCAATCCATTTGTCCTCCAATTCTATATACAGGCAAGATCTTGGGCATGCACATGCACACCCAGAAGCTGCCAGGGCAGAGACTAGAACCGTATTTAGCTATGTGGGAGCTTTCTCTTCACAGCACTAACCTACTGAGCTATCAGGCTGAGCCTTACCCTCATCACTTAAATGAGTAAATAACTTATCTATTCGGTCAGCCAATCAATAAATTTTTGATTGCCTATTAAATACTGACACTGTACTTGGTGTTAGAGACACAAGGGTAAATATAACATAGTTCCTAAAGTTTTTTAAGAGAAACAAAAATATATATAAGTAAAAATAATATAATCGGTTTAAGAGCGAGGAAAGAAAAAAAAGACAGAATATTGTGTTAGATATTAGCAGAAGCCCACTCTTAAAGTAACCAGGGGACCAGCAGACGGCATAATGATTACATCACTGGACTCCCACATAGGTGACTGCAGTTCAAGTCCTGGACCCAACAGCTTAAGACTCATGCCAGGCATGTGTGCGTGTGTACCCAAAATACCAAGGGGAGAACAGAGAAGAAGGGACTGTGGCATGGCCATTCCCCCCGGGAGTGATTTCTTGATTTCTGTCTGTCTTTGTCAGGTGAGCACAAGCATCCTATAGCAAAAATCTCTCTCGAAAAAATAATAAAGCAGTCAGGGAAATTCTATGAGGTGACATTTTGCCTGGGACGACAATACAATAGCAAAGAAAAGAACATCCTGAGCACCATGAGCACTAACAAGCAAGAAAGTTAGCAGAAAACACCTCCATCAGGAGCACAACACAAAAAGCAAGGGATCTAGAATCAGACTAAATATACGAAAACTAATACAATTTACTGACTGTAAACCCTTAAGCAAATTACATCTCTGAATATTTTCATCTTTAAAATGGGAAACAGTATTGCTGTGGAATTCCAAGAGACCATGATTATAAAATATCTGACAAAAACATAAGATTTCACTCCTTAGCCATTCCCCTGTTAACTGTCTTTTCTTTTAAAGAATTTTTAAATTTGCCACAGGGCACACATGGCTCACAAGAGACAGACAGAACGTAAGCCGCCAAGTCTGGAACTCAAACAGCAATCAGCCATGTGCAAGTCCAGCACCTCAACCACCACACCACCTGCTGGTCCCATCTTGTAACTGTTTTTAAGGTATGTAAAACAACCTAATTAATAGATTATATTTACCAATGGCTGGCTATGACATTAAAACACACCAATAATAAAAATCAGCAATGGAATAAAGTACTAATCACATGCCTTGCCTGCTGCTTCAGTTCCTTCCTTCATGAGATAGTTACATGTGGCAAGAGATTATTTGAACACAGATATTGGGATTATCTGCATGAGGACAAGAGAAGTCCCTGTACTCATGGAGCTTACACTACACTTGTAGAGAAAGACATGTATCAAAACAAAACAGTAGGTGCTATGAAAATAAACTAGGGTAAATTATCAGCGATGGTACAGAGAGGATGATTATTTTTTAAATGATTAGTTTCTTTGAGGGTAACATTTCAACAAAGTGGAAATAAAATAGAAGAGCAAGGCCCTTATAACGTGAAGGCAAAGAACACTGTTTAAGCAAAGGGAGAAAAACCATTTCTTACAGAAAAACAAGTTAGTTTTGTTGTAAAATAACAGATATATTACAAATTCAAGTTTTATTAGCACGAATGCTTAATGGTCAAAATAAATTATAAAATGTTTTACAAATCACTAAAGTAAGCTCTATGGGACCAAAAAACTAATCCTTTTACTAAATTCCCAGATCATAAAATATTTTAATGACTGCAACCAATAGCTGGACAGCACCACACAATAAAGAAATAAAGGGACCAGTGGGCTGCGTGGAGAATAAGGCACTGAATCACACATGACTGTGCAATTCGAGTCTCTGACACAGCAGCTTAAATCTCATGCTGGGCGAGTGGGCATGTGTGCCAAAAAATTCCAGAAGAGATTACAGCTGGACAGCCCCAATGGGAGATTATTTCTTGTTTTCTCTGTCTCTCCAGTGAGTACACGTGCCCTATAGCAAAAATCTCTCTTAAAAAGAAAATCAGTGCCAGAAGATGACATAATGGTTATAACGCTGGACTCCCATGTAATCGACCGTGTTTTGAGCCCTTAACCCAGTGGCTTAAAATTCACAGCAGGCATGTGTGCATGTGTGCCCAAAATCCCAAGAGGAGAATGGATAAGAGATTGTGGTGTGGCCATCCCCCAGGGTGGTAATTTCTTGCTTTCTATCTCTGTCTCTTCAGCAAGTGCACACACCCTATAGCAAAACTTGTAAAAAAAAAAAATCACATTGGGTTATGTGTGTGTGCATGCCCTAGAGTCCAAGAGGAAAATGAAGGGGACCCAGCAGGTGTAGTGGTAGTTGGGGCACTGGACATTCCCACATGGCTGACCACACGGTTCAAGTCCTGGACCTGGTGGTTTGCTTTCTCACTTTCCCTCTGTGTGTGTGTGTGTGTTTCTCTCTGGTCAAATTAAAATACTAAATGAATGAATAAATAAAGTTAAATAAATAATTCCTTTAAAATACAAATGAAGGGACCAGCAGTTAACGTAATGGCTACGTCGCTGGACTCCCATGTAGTCGACTGTGGTTCGTGTCCCAGATCCAGTGGCTTGAAAGTCATGCCGGGCATGTGTGAGTGTGTGCCCAAGATCCCAAAAGGAGAATGGAAGAGAGAGGATTGCGGCGTGGCCATCCCCCCCGGGGGGGG